GTAAGGTAAAAAAAAAAGTTCTTTTTTTTATTTTAAATTATCTGAAAGTCGTAACTTATTTTAAGGGATATTTGTTTTTTACTAAAAAATACTGATTTTTCTAAAGAAGCTAAGTCCAATGATTGATGTCCATCGTTATCTTTCATCACAAATTTGCATTACTCAATGAAGATAAGATTAAAGTTGTTTGTCATTACTCATAACATAAAGATATTCAAAAAAAAAGAAAAACTTAAAAGTATATTTTTAATTAATAATTCATATTAATCTTACTCGATCCATAAAATCCACCATTTCTCGATGATTTGGCAATAACAATTCTGCATCATCTTCTTCTGATGTTAAACTTTGTTGTTTTATTCGATGATGTGATGTTATAGATAACTGACGATGATATCGATGATATCGATTTGCATTTATCAAATCATCACGAATATCTTTTTCATCATCAGCATCTTCAACTGTTTCATCAGTTAATGGTTTTTTAATTGATAATAATGACTGATTTGTATTTCCAATTAATGTCATAGAAGATTCATTAGTTAATATTGATGATGAAAATAATGATGGTAATGAAAGTAAACTTGAACTATCAATTGATGTACGATATTTATTTGATTTTTGACGTTTTAATTTTGTTGAATCATTGGAAGAACGATGATATAATGAATTATTTACATTTAAATTTATATCACTGTTATGTAAAGATTTTTGTCGACGTAAGAATTCATCAGAATTACATATTTCATCTAATTTAAAAAAGATAACTGTTAGCACAACTTCTACAGGATTATGACGTGAAACACGATGTCGTTGCTATTACTAATCACAGGAAGAATTAATTTTATTCTGTCTATCTTGTGACGCATTTCTTTACCGTCCCTTTAACTTAACCCTTCAGAAATATAATAACAAAGTAATTAATATATTGTACTGAACCGTTATTGATTTACGATCGGTGATGGTCTCTAGCTATCGTCTGTTACAATTCCTGAGGAGTAGAGCCCGTCCGATCCAAAATTTATGGATCCGAATCCAGTCATACCATATCTTGTTACTTTCAATGAAGTTTTTCTAATCGGAGTAGGATAGCCGCCCCGACGATACGAGATACTTTTTTCCGACTTTTTGTATTTAGTGACTAGTATAGGTAGAGCCAATCAGGTACAAAGTTTTGGAATCCAGACTCGACCAGGTCCAACCTGATAGGCTCTACTAGCGAGCGTCTGTCGTGGTCTCTGGAGAGTGGGTACAAATATCTATCCTATATACTTCACGACTCATTTCAGATTGTATTTCACAAAAATAGATTTTTTTTTATTAATCGAAAGATATTTACTCGTAAAATTACCATTACAAATTGATTGAGAATGTTCAAATGATCTAAACAGAAAAAAAAACAAGAATAAATAATTTTATTTTAAAAATCAAAACAAGCTTTAATGAAATCAGGACAGGAAAAAATCAAAGAAAGAAGCGAATAACCTGAAAGATGAATTTTCTGTTTGTATTATTGGTAATGCAATTAATGAAGTGCTAAGATATTCCCTGAAAATTGATTTTTTTTTTTGAATTTAAAATTTAATTGAACGTTCTTTTTTTTTTGCGTTTTATTTTTTGTTTTACCTTTTTGTTTCATTAGGAAGATTTTGTTGTCTTTTTATAAGTATTTCAAAATTTTTACAATATTGACAGAGGAATTGTATAACTTCCTAAAATAAAAAATAAATAATTGAAAAAAAGAATTTCATAGATAGGTAAAAAAAAACACACTAACTTGACATTGTAATGGATTTTGATCAGATTCACATGTTTGATAGATTTGTTCAATAGATCGTTTTAAATTATCAAATAAAAATGTCCAATAACGTGAATGAATATCGGATGAATTTGAATCTATTTGACGAGTAGAAATATCATTCGAAGAACTAAAATTTTTCAAAAATAGAATAAGCTCGAATTGAAAACAAAATTTATCATACCTATTTGAATTTTGTGGTAATGGTTCTTGTTCAGGAACAGAAATATTTGTCATCTAGAAATAAAATTTATGACGATAGACCAACAAGACAACTAGCCAAGTGACACTTACCATTTGAGCTCATATTGCATCTATAGACAGATCTCTGTGAAACTAGAAAAAATCTAAAACGATTCATCATCGCGGTTCTTTATCGTCGAGTTATGATCGGTTTACTGGATTTTTGATTCATCTTTAGTTATTTCCCGAAAGACTGAATAACGAAAATTTGGATCAAAACTTCATTATTCGGCTTTTTCCGGGGAGTATCTAAAATATAGGTCAACAATCTAGTAAACCAGTCATAATTCGGCGACAAAGGTCAATGAGGACGAATCCTTTTAGACTTTTGCTATTCTCACTAAGATCTACCTATGGATGCAATATGAGCTCAAATGACACGTGTCACTTGATGTGTAGATCCCTTATTGTAATACAACTATTCACTTTTGCCTTATATAGGAAAGATTGATACAAATAAATTCAATGAAACATAATCATGAATATATACTATTCTATTTAAATTGAACAAGAAAAACTAAATGCATTATAATCCACACGCTTTATTATGCATTCATACCAAGAATCTAGGCCTGTAACAGTTGACAATTCTATAAACGAGTTCTTTTTCGAGAAACTGGTTCTAGTAGTCAGTTCTTTTCATTTGAACTGTATCTACTGATAATGGTATTGTAACAATTTTATTCATTAATTGTTCCGGTTCTCAAAACAGAACAGATTCATGGAGATGAGAGTTGTCACATGTCTAACCATGGATTTGATTTACTCTATCAGCATACTCATATCGATTTATTATAGATACACCATGATGTATCTTCTATATATTAGATACTAAAATTAAATAAAATTAAACTATACAAAAAAAATCATGTGGCGACTAGAAGTTTTCTTTGTGGACATGTGAGAGATAGTCCTATAGTAGGCATTTCACTGCGAATATGCAGGAACATTATAGCTGCTGTTCTTCCTCGTGAAAATTGCTGCTTCAACATGTGATATTATAATATCACATGATAGAACATTTGCTAAAAGAATATTGACGTGAGATTCTTTAGAAAGAATATTATTCGAATAAACGAATATCATGCATTTATACTAAAGTGTATATACATGAATTTTTACCTTATTTTGGTTGCTAACCAACTAGATAAAAACAATCAATATTTAAAAATATTAAGTAATCTTTATCTAAATCAAAAAATATTTATTTTCGATTTAATAAAATCTTCAATTCATTTTATTAGAACATACATAAAGATGTTGACAATGATTTGAATTTGAAAAAAACAAATGAAATCAAAAGGAAAACAGCAGTACTCAAACATAAAAACTAAAAAAATCGGTGAATCACTATTTTTATCTAACGTAAATTTTATTAGTTAACAATGACACCAATAAAAAATTCCCTTATATAAAGAATATAAAATATATCATTGATTGGTTATTCTTCATCAAGAATCAGCTGTCTTTTTCTTCCTTTTTTCCTCTATAAAATATTTGTTGGAATATAAAAGAAAACAAACGACATAATTCATAATGATTTGCTCATAATAAAATGTTTTTTGTTTTCATAGAAACAAATAAAAATATCATTGACAGCTTTCATCGATCTTGTCATCATCATGAAAACAACAAAAGAAAATTTACATTCAACTTTATAGAATACATATTAAATACTTATATTCTACTTGTTTTTATTTTTATATATTTCAGATGTTTTATTTTATTATCAATTATAGTAATCAAAAATTACTATTTTTTTTTGTTAAATGTACATAGAAATTATTATTAAATATTAATTAGGCAATTTCCCTCTTTTATGAGAAAACAAGAAAAAAAAACCTTCAGTTGAAGAATGAATAAAAGAATGCGAATTTAGAAACAATGAATAGTTCTTCAAATTTTTTCTATGACATCATTATAAAACAAGAATAAATGCCTTTCAATTTCCAAGATATGGCGCATACGAAAGCAACAGAATAAGTAAAAATAAATATTATTTCTTCAGATCTTTTTACTTTTTTTTTTTTTTCGAAAAACGTATTCGAATTTGTGATAATGTTGAGTACCTTTGCATTATTTAAGATTATTTTTATTTTTTTTTCTGTGATATAATGAAAACTTAAACCTATTTCTTTTTTGAAAAAAAAACCGGATTCAAATGTTTGCTTAGTACTATTTAATCGGGCGTTAGCAAGCAAATTTTTGCAGTAAATAAGACACTTTTTTTGGCTATTTCTTTTTTTACCTTGGATGTTACATTTCATTGTATAATCAAATGACGCAGATGTAGAAAATGCTTTTTTTTTCTGTTCTTATTTCGATTTTCGTTGACTCAAGTTAATTTTGTTAAAACTTTATGAACCTGTAAATCTTAGAAAGAAATTGTAGTTGAGAGAGTAGAGTATATCAGAGAAATATAGGTTTCTTTGTAGTTTAGTCATTATGTTTTGAGTCTTTTCTTTATATTTGTATTATGTTAGTTTAGTCATAGGCTTTTTTATTTTACTATAGACTTTTCGATTATTTTTCATATCGAGCATTTGTCGATAGAATGCGTTGTGATCGTCTTTTTTTTTCTTCTTATATACAGGTATTCACAAAAAAAAAAAGATGGATAAATCATCAGTTGAAGGATAACTGATCGTTATCGAAAGGCAGTTGATCGTCTATGAGTAATGAAAAAAAAATTCAGACAATTGGTACATGTTTATAATAAAAGCGAATATATACAATTTGATTTGACAGTCCAATGTTTTCCTCCTCATGCAAGGATATAGTAAACGTCGTTTTTGTTCTTTTCATGCGACTGCTACAATCACCAACCACTATCATTATTATGACCCTATTTTATTTTGTGATGAGAACGCTGAAGCAAGCAAACAACATAAGCTTTTCTTTCCTCTTGTAGTTTTTCGCTTTATCATCTACATATAATATATATGTTCTTTTTATTATTATGGGTATTAGAGAGTATATTATGTCGTCTTGCGAAAACATAACATAGATCTGATTCTTTATGTCATTTCGTATTACTTAAAAAGTTCTTTTTTTTTCCTGTAATACTGGAAAAAAACTCTATGCACTTGACTCATTTGATTACGAAATAACAATTGCATATTTAGTTTTTTTTTTCTTCGTTCTTTCTATTCTTTTTTTTTGTAGATCATTCACATAAAATATATTGAAACTTTTAATTTAATCTATTCAAGACAAAGGTGTGTAATAAATGATTTTCTATTACTTTTCTTGTTTTTTTAAAACATTTTAATTGGTTTCTTGTAAATATTAATGTGTTAATATTTAAATCACTTTTCTAAATTTACAAAAAAGAGTTCATTTTCTTTCATTAAAGATATGTTTTTGTGTTTTGTTTTTTGCTGATTTATGACTTAAGACGATATTGACAATAGAGAATATATTATATAAGCATTCGAGCGCATAAAAATCCGGTTCTTTTTGGTGTCTTTCTCGTATGAAAACGTTTACTACATAGATGAAAAACGCCCGGTTGGTGACGAAAAAAAAAGAAGGAATAGAAAAAGAACACATATGCGCAGAAGAAACGTATGTAAGGCTGATTCGCATAACGATAAAAAAAAAAGAAGAACAAGTTAGGGAACAAAAGAACATATTTACACATTATTTCAGAAATCCTGATATACATATAATTATATCGGTTGCTGTGTAAGTGTTTTAAGATAAATAAAAACATCATGAATGATTCATCATATTACGATTTTTTTAAAGTTTATTACGAAACAAACAAAAAGAAATGTTTTGAAATTGGTTTCTGATATAAGTACTAATATTAAAATATCTATGTTGGTACACACACATATATATTTATATGTATATGTATATATATATATGTTTGTACACACGAATATATATATATATATATTCGCGCATGACATTTAATGAAGTGAGACGAGTCGATGTTGTTGACTGTGGCTACCTTTCTTTTTCTTTCTGTTTTTTTTCTTCGTTTGACTTCGTAGAAACGACTAGAAAGAAAGCAAAAGGAAAAGGACGTGAGAGCGAAGTAATATTGCCATTTTGTTTATCGTTTTTCTTGTTGTCTCATATGGGTTACGTATATGACAATCTGGTAAAAGGCCATTAATATTATTTTCTTTTATGTTTCATAACAGTATGTAACATTATCATTAAATCATTCGTTTATTTTTCAAAAAAATAAATAAAAATTTTGAAATGAAAAAATATTAATTTATTCTGAGTAAATAATCATTACTTGCAAAAAAGTCAACCGGAATAATCGACATTTTTTTTTTCGTCCTTTATCAATATTTTTTTTTATCATTACTCGATCAATTCATATAGTTTTTTTTTTTTTTTAATGAATATTCGTGATTAATACTGCGCATTTTTTAACATGACATTAATAATACTAAAAGGGGATGACAAGAATTTATGAATGTGATTTTCTTCTATTCAAGGTTTATGAACTAATAGTAACATCATAGAATGTATCCTAAATAGATAAAATATGGACAGCAATTCTTTTTCCTTCTTTTCTTGGTAATAATAACGTCAATTATACATTGATGCTGTTCGTATTTTTTTCATCGAACAGAAGCAGCAACACCTAACACATCACGAAAGGAAAGAAAAATGGGTTAGAATTTTTCTCTTTTCTTTTTTTTCTTCTTTACCCTATACACATAGCTTGATGAGAAGTGACATACATCGTCTGACTGCTCGCCTTCCTATTTCAAACAGTATACGACAACCCGAGAGATAATGCAGTTTTTCTTTTTTCTTTTGACCTCTTTAAAGAAGCTCTAAACATTGTCTTCTTATTTTAGCCATGGTGATTGATATCGCTCCTCAGCAACATTTATCTGAAATTTTTAGTACTAATCATACTCATCATCGTTCATCATCATCATCGACACATAAACGAAGTTCAACAACGACAAATACGACATCAAATAATAATACAATGCCAAACGGTCATCGACTTATGGTAAATAAAATAAGACAAAAAAATCAAAAACGAAGACATCGAATATTTTCAATTTCTTTCTTTTCTTTTTATTATTAAGACTGATGAACTTAGTAAAAAAGCAGAACAAATTCTTGGACATGCACCAGCTGTTGTAGATTATTGTCGACAACCAAGTATCGATTTTTCTACTCAATATGCACCTCGAATAAATATCAAGTAATTAATAGTTTTAATTTATCTTATGTTTAGTTTTTTTTTTTTTTGTTTTCTTAATTTTTAGACTTTCACAATCACGAATTAATAATCATCAAGTTTCTCCTGTTACAACATCAAATCAAACGATTATTGTAGGTTGAAAATGAGCTATAGTAGTTTATTTTTTTTTGTACGTACTATTCTATCTATTCAGAAGAATAGACATTCAGAAATAGTCGAACAACTTTTTCCACTTATATTAAAGGTAGATTTTAAATTATTTTTTGTTTTTTATTGAAAAGAAAATCTTTATTAACAGTTGGTTGCACCAATAACATTTACAAAACTATCTGAAACCATTTCTAGAAATTCAAGTAAGAAAAAGAATATTTGAAAAAAAAAATTGTTTGTTTAATTATTTTGTTTTTTTTTCTCAATTTAGAAAATATTAATAATATAATCGAAAAGTAATTTTTTTTTAATACAAAGACCTTTTGTCGGATTTGATGATGATCTATCTTGAACTAGGATACTATATACAGTAGCACTCAATATTGCTCGTACACCTAACAAATGACCTTATTTCTTTAATATCTTAAGATGAGTTGAACATATGGAGGTACGATTTTCGCCAAGATGTAGCTCGCTAGGTATAGATCTTTTGCTGTAAGTTTCAGCTCTCTGAGTTCGATATTTGTTGTACTAGACTAAAAATAGTAAAAATGAGGTCCTTTGATTTGACTCAAAATTGTTCGTATACCTAACGAATGGGGCAAAATACATTGATCCCTGAGTATTTTTTCTTCAAAGACAAGACATAATTGTTTTTATGAAAAAATTCGCCGTAAAATTCTCTACAAATTGGTCTGTTTCACTTTGATTAAATACCTGTCAACGTACTTTTAAATGAAATGAACTTGCTAAGAAATGACAGATGAAAAGAAATTAGAAAAAAGTTAAAAATAGTTGCTTTTTTTGAAAGTAATGACCATCTTGTCAAGCAAATTCGTTTCATTTAAAAGTATGTTGACAGGTATTTAATCAAAGTGAAATAGACTAATTTGTAGAGAATTTCATGGCGAATTTTTCTATAAAAACAATTATGTCTTGTCTTTGAAGAGAAAACAAGTTAAAAAGAACATACTGAGAGATCAATGTATTTTGCACCATTCGTTAGGTATACGAACAATTTTGAGTCAAATCAAAGGACCTCATTTTTACTATTTTTAGTCTAGCACAACAAATATAGAACTGAGAGAACTAAAACTTTCAGGAAAAGATCTATGCCAAGCGGGCTACATCTTGAACTCATCTTGAGATATTAAATAAGCAAGGTCATTTATCAAGTGTACGAACAATTTTGAGCGTCACTGTATGTAGTCTTGTAGAGTAATCTATGGTGTATCAAATCGGACTCTAAGATAATAAGTTTTTCCCGAATTTTGATGTTCTGAAGGTTCATACAATCCTTGAGAAATATATATATATAGTAGGTGATCTCTAAGATAATCTTATGTAAATTTTATTTTTAAACTCAATTCGATATAGTTATAAGTGCTCTTCAATAGTTTTCATCATTATTTTATTCATAGTTAAAAATAGACATTTGCCGTAGGCCTAGGCTATTTATTGCTTATATGGTATTTCAGTGTACTCAATCCTGTCTTATAGAACAAGTGAGTATCAATGTGACCTTTTCTCAAAAATTGTACATTATCGAACTCTATATGCTTCATAGACAATATCTTTCGAAACAACAGAAACTCATTGTCCACTTGCAAGATTGTTCGCTAGAACAACCTACTTTTCTATATGAAGAGACGGGTATGTTGATGATATTTTAATAGTACTCAACGGTTTTATTAAAAATTTTTATACACCAGTAATCAAAACAGCATTTCTGATGCATTCATATAAATAATTTCTTAATAAACAGAAAAAAAAGTTTCTTTTTTTTGCCTTAAGACACCTTGAAGGAAAGTACGAGCATATGGAAAAGTTTGTTTTTTTGAAATGAACATAAGATATATATACTGATTCTTGTAGTTTCAGGCAAAAGAAAATCAAACCCTGGATACTCAGGATAAAAATTTCAAAAAGAATTAATCAAAATAATAGGCCTTCGTTATGCAACCGTACATCCATACCCCTGCCTAAGAGTCTTGAGGCCAAAAAATGTTTTTCCATTTGTAACAGAGTTATTTATATCAGTTCATCAGGAATGCTGTGCTGATTACTAGTGCATAAAAATTTTTAATAAAAACCGTTAAGTATTGTCAAAAGATCATCAACTTATAGGCCCCTTCATATAGCAAAATAGACTATTCTAGGGGATACTTTTGCAAGTGGACAATGAGTCCTTGCTATTCCGAAAGAAGTTATCTGTGAAGCACAGAGATCGATAATGTACAATTTTTGAGAAAGTTTCATGTTGATGCTCACTTTTTCTGTGATATAGGATTGAACACACGGGAATATCATATAATCAATAAATAATCTAGATCTAACAAAAGAAACCATTTTTAAAACAACGACGAACACTATTGATTATAGAAAATTGAATGGTACTTATAACTGTGTCGAATTGAGATAAAACAAAATTTGCATAAGTTTATCTTAGGAACTGCAATATCTATGAGTACTATATAATCCGTGTTGCAAAAGTGTTGAGACAAAATGTTTGTTTAGTTTTCGGTCAGTTAGAATCGGAATGTGATGTTTTCTCTCTCTAAATGTATATTCAGAATTCTTTTTTTTTGACTTGAAGTTGATTCATTGAAAGCAAATCCTTGATGGAGGCCAAAAATAATGTTTGTACAAAGTACCAGTTCCAAAGGTCTTGGTAAATATATTTGCTGATGCTTTGGGCATTGAAATCTAATTGAGGAAAATTGAAAATGCGCAGTTAGAACAAGAATTTGATATTCTTTCTAAATATATCTTTAGAATTTAGCTGTAACTTACGGGTAATTAACTGGAAGCAAATACGTGAATAAATAAATAAAAAAATATATATTATTTGCACTACACAAATTGGCGTTTTTTCTCTCTCATTCGTCATTTTTCTAGAAGGTGTTTTAGGGTGGTTTTCGATTCCTATTGTTGTAGAGAATTTCATGTTCTACAAAATCATCGATTACAACAAGCTAGAACTTAAAAAAAATCAAAAGCTGAAAACATATTTCGAAATGCTACTGTGTAATAAGAGAACATTTTTCACAATATTTGTTTTTGGTGATTGTCTGTATTTAAAATGTAACAGATCTCGATGGTTTGCAATAATATGTAGAGAGCAAAGGAAATTGGTCATTTTGTAGAGCAAGTTTCACTCTACAAACTGGTATAGAAAAAACACTTGCCTATAATTTAAATTGAGGTAGTTTTAATGAAAATACAAAAATAAACTATATGAAATATTCTGTACAAATGTCATTTTTAGTCTCCTTCAAAGATTTGCTCTCAATGAATCAACTTCAACTCAGAAAAAGAATTCTGAATATACATTTAGAGAGAGAAAACATCAAATTCCGATTCTAACTCACTACGTTTGCATTTTCTCAACTTACTTCTAAGTGACCAAAAACTGAAAACATTTTGTCTTAAGACTTTTGCAACAGGGATTATAGCCGGTATATGAACCCTTAGCACATCAAAATTTGAAGAAAAACTTGATTTCTTAGATATCATTCAATGCATAAGAAATTGTTCTACAAAATCACATATATGGTATCCTAGCTCAACATAGATCATCAAATCCGACAAGATTATTTTAATATTCTTTATTGTTTCTATGAATATTTACTAGTCGTGAAACACATATTGCATCACATGATGATATTAATCTTAAACTTAGTGATGATGAGAATGAAGAAGAAGATGATGATGATGATGATAATAATAATAAAATATCAAATGAGAATCAAATGTAAATTGAAAATAGTTTTTTTCTTCATGAAATAATTTTCAATGTTTATTTAAGTAAAAATCAACATATCGACAGTGATGATCAAGTATCTATTCACAGTGATACGGAGAATGATGATGAACTAAATCGAACGGTTGGTGTTGAATTGATTTTGTTTTTTTTGCATAAAAAGTATAGAAAAAAGAAACAAAAAAAATTATTCTTTTTTCAGAATCCAAATACATTATCATTAAGTGATTTTATTCCTGTAAAACATTCACCAGTAGAATCATTAATTGATATTCAAAAACGAAGTTTATCACCATCAAGACCAATTCAAGAAATAAAACAAAATAAACGTAAAGAAGAATTAATTAAATCATTTTCATCATCTGTAAATATTCCTATTGATATTAAACAACCAACACTTCCTATAATCATTCCGACATATTTATTTTCTGATCAATCTATAAAAACAGAAGGTAAATAGAAAACAAAAAAAATAAATAAATATTTTCTTATGAATTATTTATATATAGATGATCAAGTTATTGAAAAATCACAAAAAACACCAAAACGATATGCGAATGGTACAATTAAACATGAAACAAATACACAGATGATTGATAATTCTAATATAACAAATGGTACGCAACAAAAAAAGAATAAAACTAGTCACGTGTACAAACAAGAACCAGCTATTTATTCGACAACAATACGTACTAAAGAAGAATCAAATGTTATGTCAAATGTTGTGTCATCTAATGAAATATTATCTAATGATAATACGACAACAATTACACAAATATCAGATCAACCAAAGAAAAAACCAACAGCAAAGTAAATTGGAAAAATATTTAAAATGAAATTAAAATTGAATAATATTGCAAAAATTAGATAAAATTATGTTTGAGTTCAAATTTTAAAATTTAATTTTAATTAAAAAAACATTCAACTTCTAGTTAATTTTTATGTTTGAAATTTAGATTTTTTCAGAATTGACAATTAGTGTACCTCATCGACGATGAAAGGTAGCCGAATTTCTTTCGAAGATCTATACTAGTGATTTTCATTTCGGTGACCGTTCTTTTCGTTCTCTTTCTGGATATAAAGAGGGACTACCCAACTATGATGTGTGCATTATGAATTGCGACCTAGTCTTTTCTTAAGAACTAACTTATTTAATTATCAGCTTAGTTTCTAACTCAACTTAGGAACTTTAATTGGTTGGTCGTAAAAAGATCACAAAGTGCTTTAGAAAATTCTGACTAGCCAGTAGAACCCATCGGATCCGACTCCAGAAATTTTTGAATCCAATAGGCTCTGTTCACAAAATTTCTATCAATTATGTTCGAATCTTACAATTTTGATCAGTTTGATCTGGATCCGAGTTCAACAAATTTTAATCAGCCGAGTCCGGGTCCAAAAATTCTTGAATCTGATAAGCTCTATTAGTGAGGTACATGCTTTATTGTGTGAAATAATACTAATATTCTAACAGAGATCAGACGTAAGTCACGTGATAAAAAAGAAAAAAATTATAAAGTATTATTTTTTTTTTCGTTTTGCACTTGTAAATAATAAACCATCTAAGTACTTCTCAGCATTTATAACACCTTCATAAGATCGTTTGCTAAGATGGATTATACGACGTTGAATTACAATTGTCTTGGCTTGTTTCGATCTTGCTCGTAAACCTGCACTAAATTTAATATACATATGATGAAAATGATTGTTTTCTCCTTGTAAAAATTTTATGAATGACTAAATATTTGTATAACTAACTTGTACTCGACGATTAAAACAACTATGAAATGCTAAACAAAACATAGGAATATGAAGTTGCGCGAGAAATAGAAAGAAAAGCTTAGCGTCAGCATTATTATTAGTTCTCAAATTCAGACCATATACACACCATTGAGAAATAGGAACTTTCATAAATCATTGTTCTTACAAAATATATTCCAGTAAATCATTCAGCATGTCTTTCAATTCTGTCGACGTTGCTGATACTAATTCATCATTTCCTACTTTTTTCCAGCACACTACTTAATTAGTTACTGACTTAACTTAGATATTAAGTTGTACATTATTATAATTACTAGATACAATCAGTATTAATTAAAGGTCGTCGGATCTAAAATTTTTCTGTTAACCGGGTCTGAAAATTTTGGACTCGCCGAGCTCTGATATCAATACATATAATATTAAAATGTTTCTAATACTGTAGATATCATCTGGGAATATCACCAATAGCTTCAGTCATCGAAATGACGATCATTGAAGTTCACCAAAATGTATACTGATCTTCTTTACATTCGATACATGAAAAATGAGCTATATTCTTCGGACTTTTCTAATAATTTTAAAATCTATCAATAGTCAAACTTCCATATCAGTAATTGTTAATACAAAAAAATATTATAATTCTAGACAAGAATAAGACACGAAGATGAATTAGATTGTTCAAAAGAACTTATTAACTTCGAAATTTTTGAATTTGAACTCGACATTTTCTGCTATTCAGTTCATTAATTGTCTAAACATTAATTTTGAAAATAAATTCGAACTTTTATTTGTATATTTATATGACTTAAAAAATTTTATTTTTCAGTGTTCGACCACTTTTACAAATTACATTAATTGATAATTTATCATCAACAAATAATGCTTCAAGTGTTCTTAATACACCTGATCGTTTAACAACAGCAACTAATGCTTCAACAAAACCAAACTATGCAAATTTAAAGTATAAATTTTTCAAAAAATTTAATTCTATATTTATAATTATATTCATTATTTTTTTTTTCTAAAATAGAAATATGTCAACAAAAGAATTAAATTCTTTAGCTCGAGAAAAGAAGAAACAAGCTGATGGTGAAAAACGAACATTTGAAGATATTAAACAATCAATGTCATTATATCTTGAATCTGTTTGTTATTTTATTCAATGTGCTCATGATGAACCAATATTAGAACAACGTACTTCATTATTAACAGCAACATTATCAATGCTACAGTTAGTCATTGAATTTAAATCATAAAAAAGAAATTTTTTGTTTTTTGTCTTTTAGACATCTTGTATATAATTATGAAAAAATGTTTCACATATCTACAAATCAATCAATTGATTCAGTGAATAATATTCGACAAAAATTTCTTTTAATTAAGTAAAGAAAATTTCGCAAAAAAAAAAAAAAAAAAAGAAAACTTTTACACTTCGTTTTTGTTTAGTTATTGGCTTCAATCTTTTATTTATCAATTACAATATAATGCAAATTTACCAATAATTGAACGATGTGTTCATCAAGTAACAGAATATTTTAGTCATTCAAAATCTCCATCAGATACAAATAATAGTTTTATATATGAATTTTCAAAATATATGTTACATTCATATAATTCAAACCATTATTGGAATAAAGCTGAACGTTTAAAGCGTGAAGAATCATTAAAAAGTAAAAAACAAAAACAAAAACAAAATGAAAATTTACTTTTTTTTTCTTTTTACTGTCAAATTAATTTATTATTATTATTTTTGTAATTTGATTTAGAATTTAATGAACAGTTATTAAGACAAAATCAAAATCGACGTTTAACACGTGATGATACAACATTAGATTTTTTATTGTATATTTTTGATGCGATTGATTTATTACGTTTAACTATTGTTTAAGAAAGTCCATTTTTTCTATATATTTCAAAACATCTTCTTCCAAATTTAATTTCAACATAGACGCACTCCGGTTTAGCTTCTGTTTTATATAAATGTATGTATGGTAAAAGTGAATTGATCTCGATTGATATATTTTTTGTTCCGGAATTATGATGATTCCATTTGATTTATGTATGTGTATAGCTTAGAATATTAAAAAATATTATAAGAGCGATTTGACAGTTTTTTTTGTTTGTTTGTTTGTTTAAAATAATTACGTTTTATTTATAGCAAAGAGTTTTTTTTAAATATGTTAATATCATGTGCTTGCTGTATTGCGCATATTTTCTGATCAAATTTTTTTTGTCTGACTAATGTTTTTGTTGCCTGCTTTGTCTTTAACTTTCTCTATTTCCTGAATGTTATGTTTTGAATGCGTGTAGGATGATAAAACTACAAACTTAAATTATTCTATCTTTTCTTTTTTCGTTATGTAGACATGTAGCTTAATCTTTCATTCTCCCATCTTTCTTTCGAAATAAAGACAATCGACGATTCCGGTGGTTGATATACTGCTGATATTGACTCATTTTAGAATGTCCCTAATTGTGTATATGTCTTTCACATACCATCAGATTTGGCTTTTTTTTTTCACTCTCTTTTACTCCCTCTTCTTTCTCTATCTGTCTATTTCTCAATATATTATCTTATTAGTTTATTGTTTGTCTACATGATGAAAAAAAAAAAATGTATTTATTCTTAATTATTCTTTTAAAAGAAAGTAACATGAAAACAAAGGAGTGTTTAACAAGTTTTCTTGTTATAGGTGTTGTTCTTTTTTTTTTTCTTTTTTTTTTTTTTTCATTTATATTTTATAAAAAAAAACAAAAAAAAGGGACAAAAAAAAAAAAAACATATAGATAAACATTGAGTTCTTTTTCTATTTATTTCGTTTGTTTTAGATTTCATATTTTGAGACGACCAATTTCAATCATGACGCGTGGCAATCAACGGTGCAATGAGATTTTAATCGTTAGAAATGAATGATTTAATTTCTATTGTTTCTTTTTTTTTCTAGCGAACTTGCCAGAGAAAAGAATTCGAAAAATCACAAAAACAAAGCAAACTCAGTGTCCGAAACTGAAGCTAATAAAGGTTTATCATTACAAGAACGTCAACTACGAGATGCAATGAGGTATATAAAATTTATATTCGTGAGAACAAAAAACAAACAAGAAGCTTTAATTTTCTATTTAGAATGCGTGAGAAACAACAATTAGCTGAACAAAAAAAAGCAGCTGGCAATAATAATGCATCAGGTGGAGGTGGAGCGGCTGCGTCAGCTAATTGAAAATGATATTTAATCAAGATATTTCATACGAAACTTTCCGTTTATATTTTCTTTTTTTTCTTTTGATAACAAAAAAAAAATTCTGATCTTGTTTATTTAACTTTTACTAACATAAACTTGATTATATTTTTCTTATGAATGTCTAACGAAATAACTTCATTTTTGTTTTTTTATTAGACATAAATTTACATTGATATTGCATAATCGTATTCTTTTCGATTCAATGAAACTGTTCGTTATTGATATGATGTTGATGAATGAAAACATCTAACGAGAGAATTTCTCCATGTGTTAAATCATTTTTCGACCAAGACGATATTTATTTGATGCTGAGTACTAGTGAGTAATAAAAAAGTCTAGAATGGTTTGATTATTCGGATCTTCGTTTTTGAAATATTAAAATTTTGCTCTGTTTTTCAACAACAAGTTGTAGTCTTCCTCAAGTCACATGGAAAATTTGGATTTCGACTTTAAACTTTGCACGAACAAAATTCTGAATGAGATTAGTTCATTGAATAAGTAGTAACTATTCGCAATTCTCTCATGTGTAAAAGCAAGTTTTCTTCATATAGTTATATTTCTAGAAAAGAAATGCTAGTTACACAATCAATTAATCTCATTAAGAACTTAAGTTTAAAGTCGAAAGTCAATTTTCCACGTGATCTGAAAAGGATCACAGCTTTCTGGCCAAGAGTCTAGTCAAATTTCGATATCTTGAGAGTGAAGATCCAGAAAATAAAACCATTCTAGACTTTTCTATTACTCTCTAGCACTCATCAAATGAACATCGTCTCGGTCGAAAAGCGATTTGACATCTGGAAAGGTTCCCTTGTAAGCTGAGTAATAATTTGATATGATACACGATTCAAAATATCAGATCAGAATTGATTTCGCACATATTCAATTTTTCATTAAAACATTTAAAATAAATAGGAAAATTTAATGAAAACGAATTATTCTTGTCTAATCTAATGATTGATATTAAAAAGTTCTAATTGTTTTAAATGATAATCATTTTTATCTTTCAGTTTTATCTATCAAATGATTGTAGCATACTTTGGTCGTTACAAATTATTTCTTCTTAATATAACATCTGCATCAGGTCTTCTTACTCTTGGTGACTATTGTGCACAAATTTTCTATGATAAAAAGAAAACTTTAGATAAAAAACGTTTATGTATGCTTATCATTTCTGTTTGATTTCTTTTAATAATTTAATTTCTAGTCGCAGCATGTATTACTGGAGCAGCATTAGGTATTGAAGGACATTATTGGTATAAATTTCTTGATCGTATTATAGCTAAAGCAACATGGCATAATGCGTTTAAAAAAGTTCTATGTGATCAAACTGTTGCTGCACCTATTTATACAACAACATATATTATTGGTAAGATAAAAGTTTTTTGAAGTATTCTATTTTATTTAAAATAGAATATTTATAATATTAAGGTACATCGATTCTCGAAGGACGAACATCTTTAAATCAATTAAAAGATGATACTAAACAAAATTTTATTCCACTTTATATAGCCGATTGTGTTGTTTTTATACCTACACAATTAATTAATTTTAGATATATTTCCGCATATTATCGTGTTCCATTTATGTTCTCGATTTCATTTATTTTTAATTTTTTTCTTAGTGCATATAAACATACACATGAAGGACACGAAAAATAATTGATTAGTTTTCTTTTTTTAGTTTGTATTTCATATTTGTATTAGTGTTAAAGAAAAAAAAATGCTAATTTCATGAAATTATTTGCATGAAGAACGAATAATTCGAGAATCTAAATTTTAGAATGAATTATTTATTTAAATGATTGCAAAAAGAAATAATTACAAAACGTCTGAAAAACTAGACCATCATACCTTGACTTTTATGATAAAATGTTTATTGATGCAACAATTGTCTTCTACTGAACGACTCATGAAAATTCTATCGGTAATATATTTACATACGAATGCTACGAGACTCATATAGATACAAATATATTTTGCATATTATAGTTTTGAATTCCGACTTATTCATCAATTCTTTTATATCCTGACAAATCAAGGCATTTTTTTCTTAATTTTACTTTCTTCAAAATTTTATTATAGAAAAAGTATTACTCTGGCAGGATGTAGATTTTTCCGTCATCCTGAATTAATTCATCATTGCAACCTGTCAAATCAGATAAGAAACAAACTGTTACCTCTTAATTAAGTTGTAATATGCAATCTGTTCTTTTGATCAACAAACAGCGACAACATGTTTGTTCTTACACATATTGTTTTACGAAAAAGAAAAGAGTAAAAGTGAAATGTGAAACATGCATATGTTGCAACATACTGCTTATTACATTGTATTCTTCAAGAGATAAATGATTTAATTGAATCAAATACATATTGGGATGATGAAATTGCACGAAAAATAGAGAAATCTATTATTTGCCACAGTAACAACTTCGTTAATATAATAAAGAATACGAATATGATGCAATTCAATCAGTGCTTCGAGATAGTTGAACTATGTAAAGATCAGCTACAATGTTCAGAGAATATGCTCAATCAGATTGGATTAAACACAATCAACCGATTTTAATAAACATTATATATTTATAGATTAGTAAGTGTCCTTGGACAAGGTCTATTTATATACCATTTTTTTAAAGAAAAAGCCCATCCAACATCAGAAGATTTCTCTCTTGACATAACATTATTGTTCTTGGAACTTTCTTCGATTAGTATAGATCATTTACTATTTTGATAAAGCTAAGTTGTAATAAACAAAGTTTGCCTTCTAATTAAGATGTATGACATATGTTATGTCTGCATACTTGGACTTTTCTTTTTCCTTCGTCTGTAATGACTGATATGATAAGACAATGACGGAAGTTAGCATGTGTTAGATGATGAAAATAGTTCTCACGTCTGAATCTATTTTGCGATTACGATAGAAGTTTAATATCTATCCTCGTTGGTTTCAAAACTGTCGTTGGTCTTCTTGAGATTAGACTACTATAAAGTAGATTGACGTATATCGATTCAACGTGTGTCCTAGTTCAGTCGGACTCGTGATATAGATGATCTAAACTTAGTCGAGCAATAGATGTCAGACATAGCCAGATTTATTCATTTCCTTGACATTTAACCAATAGAAAAATACAATTAGTCGCTTGATTGAAAATCATCGTATGAGACAGATGAAGTGAAAACTTTTTTTTGTTTTTTT